CAAGTCCAAAAACACAGAAATCATAAAAATTGGTCCAGTCGATCTTGAGTTAATTTATTATTATCATTTTCATTGATGAAATATCAATTTTTCAAATCCAAAAAGACAAAAATCATAAAAATTGGTCCAGCCGTTCTTGAGTTCTTTCATTATTATTTTTCATTTTCTCTTATTTATATTTCCTCACCTTTTAAACCTTCCCTGGACCTCCACAAATAATTTAAAACCAAAATTAGCCAAATCGATTCAGCCGTTCTAGCGAAACCGTTTTAAGCGAGACTAACAAACAGCAAATAATTTTTATACATTAGAAGATCATGACAATGTAAGGATAGGTTGTTCAGTGATAAAACATTTTATTGATTATTTTGTGTATGTACATATATTTTAGCTACCATAAGCCGATTGTTACTTTTGTAGGATTGAATATTGATACCAGTAATGTGCATACACAAATTTATTATCATAATTTTCAAGCCAAGTTTCACATAATGAAAGAATATTACGTGCTAGCCAGTTAGATTTCTATAATCCTGTCAGCAGTATATATGTCTAAAGCAAACTAAACACTTAGCGTCTTTCCGAAGAGAGAGGAGGAGCCTGCCTTCCGCTGATGAATGCATGAGAGAAAGGGAAGCCAGACAAACTAGTGCCAGACAAGCTAGATAACGAAGCGGTTCACCCTCCCATAGGAAGTTATCACTCAAAAAAACTCATAGCCCGAGACTCTTACATGTTTCTGTATTACACTGTTCATAATGTGAGTGATACATGTAGGAAGGTTACACCTGTTGATCTTTCGGAAACCATACTGGTGATCGCTTAATATATACTGTAGAATTCATATATAACGACTCCGCTTATAACGACTATCCGTTTACAGCGACGATAATGTTTACTCAAGTTTAGTTTCATATTTAGTTATTGAGAAAATATACCGTTTAGTGCGACTCCGGTTTAAGTTTATAGCGACCGCTTATAGCGACCGTTTTTCATGATAATACATCCGGTACATCCGCACCAATACCTCGGCGCTCTCCCTCTTTTCAGGTACCTCTATTGATAGGTACTACTAACAGATATTAATAGATTGATTTTACACCAGAGGTTCCACAAAATGAATTTCGATAACATGAATTCTATGAAACGAAAGTGTTTTACAATTGAAGAAAAAAGTGCAATATTACAACAATTAGAAGCCGGTGAATCAAATGCAGCCCTCGCAAAGGAGTTTGGCGTATCCCATTTTACAATATCCACAATTAAAAAGAATAAAGATAAGATCGAGTCGCTCTTCAATGCCAATGTTTTGAAATGCAAACGTGTAAGGACTTCTACTCATGAGCAGTGGTTCAAGCTTCAGCGAGACCAGAAATACCCCTCAATGGAGCTCTGCTACAAGAGAAAGCAAACTTTTTTGGTAGACAGTTAGACATGCAAAATTTCACACGTTCCATAAGTTGGATAAACCGTTTTGAAGTGAGACACAACATCGTCTGTGGTAAGATTGCTGGCGAGTCTATGTCAGCAACACAGTTTTTCGTGCACTGCGTATATATTTTATCTCTTTGTATTACAGTACATAATATAAGTAAATATATTTGTACATTAGGACATTTAAGAACTATTAATATAAAGCATATGTGATTCCTATAAAATGTTTTACTTACCTATCGATCAGCAATACGAATAGCTAAATGAAAAACTAATAAACTAATGTACACTTTACTACCACAAAATTAATTCGTTTTGTGCGTCGTCCGGTTAGTACGACATAGTATATCCGGTCCCTTGAAGGTCGTTATTTCCGAATTCTAGTGTAATAATATAAGGATTCTAAATATCCAAGAATGTGTTCAGTTAGAGCGTGAACATCAACAAGACATGGGTACCGCCACTTCATAATACGAAGATTCTCCCAATAATTGAAAAGAAGAGTCTGACCAATCAGGTACAAGAGAAGTCGGTACAGTTTGCGATTTGCAGACCACGGCTAATAATTTCGTAAACATCCGACAATTTGTAATATACCGGTTATTTCCAAATTAGAGTCATTCATTACTATAATCATTATCAGAAAAACCTTTTATTGCCGCTCAGCCTGAAATATTGAAAAAATATGTGTCATAACATTCATTTTTGAAATTTGAACTGTTATTGTGCTGTACAACTTTCATTTAGGTGATTTTCATATTATCAATTTATTTTGCAAAGTTCAACAAGCAATTGAAATAAATAACTCAACTTTGAAACCATCTTGTTCAATAGCTTTTTCAGGCGTGCATCATAACAAAATCTCACAGCAAAATTTAACCAACCCCAACCTGAGAACGAGTGCTCACGACCATATAATTCACCTCCCTACACGGAAACTTCATATCTAAAAGATTTAGTCCCAGTACGCTTCCATGTATCATCATTGAAATTAATAATAAATCAGTTCCTCAACACTGATATGAAAAATGAATGTGAATAATACAAGAAAGAGGAATTTCCTCATTCCTATTGAATAAATAAATACGCTTGGCTCATGAAACTCAAGATTATATCCAAGAAATACACAAGGATTTTGGAAAAATATAGAAGGTACGTGCAATGCTCGTTTTACTGGAGATTAGGATTGATGTTGAATATAAGAAGTTATGTTTGACTGTTTCAGTTAAATTTCTCTTTCTCGAAAATGTTAAAATATATCAACAAAAACTTTAGTGAAGCGACATTATCGTGAAGAACGTGACTCCGAAAAAGGAATATTATAGTGAAAAAGTATTATTGGAAAAAATTTTTAATGCAAATGAAGATTTGCATCATGCACTTTTGATTTCATATTCGTGATTAGCGCAACAAAGTATTTTCAATCGATATTTTCAAAGAACTATACTGAACATCTCAGCATCCCTGGAGGGTTTCAAAAAATGTAATAATAAGACGAGGTAACAATCACCAATGCGACAGTGATGAAGTTTCAGTTTCCTTCTGACGAGAAATATTAAAAAAAACGTTTCTTCCATATATGGAAGGGAGCGAAATTATCCGATCATTTTTCTTTCCATTTCCCACCGAATTGAGCTGCATCTCACGAAGATTTACTCCTACATACTTAATAATAATCTATTGCAGTTGCAATTTTCAAAAGGTGAAATCTATGTACGAATATATAATTCAGGTTGGAGATGCACAGGCATCGCTCTTAGAGCGCCTTAAGAATTTTCCTGTAGTGCTTGTGCTTCATCCTTAGCAAAAAACATGGGAACAGTGAACATATTATTAGCTATTAGGGTTTTTTCTGCAAGGAAACATCATGTATTTATTGTTTCCATGTAGGAAACACTGAAAAATGAAATATTTTTCTCTCATTATTGTGTAGATTGTATTGCTTATTGCTTGTTGCACCTACGATTATTCAAGTTACCACATATAATGTGTTTACTAGAAAGCTATTCAGACGGATACAATAATAATCGTTATCAATTGAATAATGACGTAGGTGTTTTGGAGCCAATCCTTTTTATTCCTTATATCAATGAGTTGCCATCTGTTTTGCAAAAGTCACTCACTTGTTTGTATGCTGATGATTCTTGCTGATATTTGCCTGGATTGCAACAAAATATAAATTCTGACCTTGATAACTTGCAATATTGGTTCACTGAAAATTCATTATTGATGCCTCGAAAATAAAAAGAGTAGCTTTTTAAACTGCCCAAAATATTAACACGATAGACATTAATTTTGGAATATCTGGTGTTGAAATGGAAAGGGTTGACAGTTTAAAATTATTAGGGCTTTGTCTAGACAGCAATCTCAATTTGCGATAATCTCACTAAAATACTCAATAAGCAGTGTTATGTGTTGAAAAACTTGGAAAGAATTCTAGACTACTCTGGTCTACTTTTATATTACCATGGACAGATACAATCAAGAATTAACTATGGGATAATTGTTTGGGGAAATTCTCCACCATAGAACCATTGCTAACAACTCACGAACATCATCGTGTAGAACATTATTTAAAAAATTGAAAATTTTGCCTCTACCTGCTCTCTACATTCTGGAAGTTTTGTTGTACATCCATGAAAGTAAAGAGTTTTTCAAACAAAACCACCAATCTTTACATGAATATAATACCCACATCAAAACATATTTTCACATACCCAAAACACATTCATCTCTACGTCTGAACGTGTTTGAGATTTTGGGTCTGAGATTATATAATGCACTTCCGGAGTTTTTCAAAATTATAACCAAAGAACAAGTATTCAAACATAAAATAAAACAACTGTTTTAATCTGTTTTTCCGTTAATCAGCTGTCGCCCCCATACGAACGACAACTCTCAGAAGTTGAGATACTTAGCCCCTATACAATCGATGACTTTTTTTCTTATCTACATTAGTGAAAAATATTTCGTATTATTTTTCAGTTTTGGCTTTTTTGTTCACTTGTTTCAATAACTCTTGTTATATGAATGTGTCTGTTTTATAATTGTATTTTATATATGTATCTGATATGTACTGACTTGTCCAATTGCTTCTTTCAGGCCTATTCTAATGGATCAATAAAATATTATTATTTTCATTAAATGAATACGTAAGTTACCTTGAGCAGTTCATGTCCATCATAATTTTCTTTTTCAATATCGTATAAAGTATATAGTCAAATCAAAACTATCGCACGAGAAAATAGATTTATGCGTCACAGATTAATGCGACTCGCGAGATGGAGAAAGGTTGCAATTGCGTTGCTTTTGTTAAGCGTAGTGAATAGCTCCGAAAATTGAGGACGTATTTTCATTTGGTTGTTGTCTTCATTGAGAGATTGTGACATGTTCACTGATCAGTTTACAAAACCATAAAAGTGGTTCAGTAGTATGAAATTGTGACCGGAAAAAGGGTGACGTGTATCTTCTGCTATGCGTGCGAATTCATATTAGAAGAACTATATTGTGTCTTCCTAATAAACGTTATCTTGTTCAATTGATACAGATTTCTTTCTTTGTTTCAGGAAACCTTCTGGTGATTTTGGTTGTAACTATGAGTCGACGTTTACGGTCAATAACCAACTTTTTCCTTGCGAATTTGGCTGTGGCAGATTTTTTCGTTGCTATTTTTTGTGTCTACCAAAATCTAGTAATATACATAATTGAAAGGTGAGTATCTTAATGAAATAATAATAATAGAAATCGTAAAAATGTATACGTAATTATGATTGTACATTAGTTGTTTATGCATAATAAATGAAAGAATTAAATTATTTCCGAAGTGAATGTGATTTGAACAAAAATTAATGTGAATAAATTTCGAAGCAGAAAGAGAAATAACCTGGTTACTTTCACCCCAATTTGAAATTACTTCTAGATCCTCATTGACATATGCAACCTCCTGCTGCAGGTGAAGCTGTCATTTGATATCCATATCATTTGATACCCATAACATGTGTTCCGTCATTTTGTAGCTGCGGCCGTTTTGAATTTACAATAATACAGAATTTATTAAATTGTATTGTCATCAAAACTAAATGTTTGTACCAGATATCAAATCAATCTGTCAACAGAAAGGGGTTCAATTCTCAATTAATACATTTCACCCGATCAAATAAACAAACAGTATCAGTTAATAACAAAATGAGAAATTGCTGAAACTCAAATAGTTTTATTTCACAATAACTGTGTGAAGTAGTTGTTAGAAATCGGACTTGTATCCGGAGTTCTTAAGTTCGAATCCCAATGAGAGCTGGTTTTTTTATTGTTTCATCCACCCAATTTTCAAAGTATTCTAAGTCGAATAACAGAAATAGAAATGAATTTTAGGTTATGAAATCTAATGATATCAGTCTTATTCAGGTTATTCTCCACAAATAAATGTTGTTTTCAATAATTTCTAATGCAAGTTATAGAAAAAGTATAGTATTCTTTTTAAGAGAAATTTTCATTATTAGCTCGCATCATTCTTCAATGTCGCGAGTAATGATCACATTTGTTCCCCGCTATAATAAGTAACGTCCGATAGATTGGTCCCCAGGGCCTCCAGATTTCACGCCTTTTGATGATGAGTTGATTTTTTCCTCAAGTTGTTTCTAAAATATAGGGGGAAATATGTATCCCTAAATTTATTTATCGTAAATGAATTTTGGGAAGTTCGTCTCATACAAATAAACTAATCAACCAAGTAATTGGAACAGATTGATTACCGGCATTGAAACTCGGAAGTTTCAAAATAACTACAATTTTTAGTGACATATTTTCAACTATGACCTGAATATTGTTTCATTTCTTTTAACACCTCCAGATAGAATGGAAACCTATATCTGTTACTTCATGATCTAAAAGTTTCTCTCATATAATAATAAACTTCGTTCAGATAAATTGGATACCCTAATCTCAAATTTTTTCCTTCGGGTCGGAAAACATTCCAGAAATTGGCAGCAGTCCAGAAAAGATTCACCAAATAAAGGATATGTGATATCTACAAGAAATAGTATACTCGACAAATTTGATGTAACGCTTTTAGGAAGTTATTTTCACTAAAGTGGTGATAATTACAGAAAGTACCTGTAAAGAAATATTTGTACAAAACCAGAAGATTTTCCTTCATTCGTAAAAACTTCCTAAATAAATGTAATGGTATACCCATATTTTGTAGAGTGGAAGAAAATATTGAGGATTGAAAACCAAGTGTAGACAAAAACCATATACATATATATGAAAATAATAATAGAAATAATGAAAAGAAATCTTATAATTCAACAAGTTTTTTCAATACATTTTTATGAACTTATTTAACTCTGTGAGTTCCCCTTTTCTTGCAAGAATTCATAAATACAACAAATAACTGGATAACAGATTATTTCCTTCAAAAATGTATATTATCAAGTAACTGTTATGGTTTACTACACTTCTGGATATTCTTTATGAAAAACCTAAAAAAGTCCAAAATTATAGACATTTCCATCACTGGTGATTTTGGTCTGTTTCAAAATATGTATCGGGTCTCATAACGGAGACCTGCAAAAATATTATTGCTGCGAAATTTCCTGCGAAAAACTTGCAATATACCTGTTTTTTTTCACTACAGCTGCTCAACAACTATAAGTACAATACGAATTTCCATTCCCTCCATCCATTCTAATTTTTTACAAACGACTTTGTTCAAAAGAACTGTACATGAGAATCTTTCTGACATTAGTTCAATGGCTAAAATAGTGAAAGTGGAGTGTTAAAGTTTTAAGTTCGAAATAATGCTGCTCTGACTGGAGATTAGGTTGAAATGTGTACCCTTCAAAGAAAACAGTTCTCAGACAGTTTTCATTAGAAAACACAAATTGGGCCTTTTCAATGCAGTAGTAGGGATTTTGATGAGTCGAAAGAATTCAATTAATTACTCCTGAAAAGAAATCCAATTTCACTTAGCTGGAAGTGATCCATCTTTATTCTCTGAAGCGATCATCCAAACAAAAATATTTTCTTTCGTATCATTTATAACTGTCTTGTAGAAATGATATGAATATCAGGTTATTGAAATAGAGAGTGTATATTTAAAATCATTCCACTCATATTATCGTCTATCCAGGAAATCATATAAAAAATTGGAAAGACACCTCAGGATATGGATTTCAAAGAAAATTGTTTTACTAATCTCAAACATAGCCAAAGTGAAAATTCTATAAATGAGATTAGTGTATTCTCTAGAAAATTCAAATTTATATCTGATCAGTAGTACGTATTCAGGGAGGAAATATCAACAGAAGATGCCATACAAAATCTAACAACTTTCATTTATGAAGCTCTTGACAAAAAATTCCCAACGATGTGCATCTTCGTTGATCTTTCCAAAGCTTGACACCGTCAGTCATACAGAACTCCTGAGAAAAGTAGAAAACTTGGAATACGCGGGAAAGCTTACGACATTATTGAAAACAATTTATATGACCGAGAACAGAGAGTCAGTATCGATGGAATTATGAGTTATCCCAAAACTGTTACTTATGGTGTTCTGCAAGGAACGGTTCTAGGACCAATTCTGTTCACAATATATCTGAATGAACTGCTACAGATATCAACAAAAGATACAATTTTGAGCTTTGCTGATGATATGGCTGGACGGAATGGCTACTCCAAAGCGATGGTAGAAAAAACTTTGGCTAAAAGACAGCAGGAGCCTCGCAAGGAAGAGAAGCCGACACAACCAGTGCTTGCACTTCCCTATATCAGAGGATTATCGAAGAGAATAAGAAGAATTGGTTCCAAGTACAACATCAGAACCTGCTTGCTTCAGATCCGGTAACACTATACGTTGCAGCCTCACGAAAACCAGGCCATCAAACGCGGACTGCGATTCCAAGAATTGCATTTACCGGATACCCTGTGAGTGCGGAAAATCCTATATTGAATGGAATTAATGATTCTTTTATACAATAGAAGTTCGAGTGTTATTCAAGTTCTGTTCCAATTCAAATATCTTTAACGATCATTACATGCACAATATGACGTTAGTTGCACCAAATGTCAACAATCAACTTCTGTTCTAACTTAAATTGCCTTCTGCGTCACAATCGATTTGATAATTATCCACCACACAACACCTCCAAATTACTGTGTGCAGAGCACTTCCAATTACAATTGATTCAATTCGCAAGGTATATTGCAATCAGTAGAGTTCTGTAGTCCCATAGTAGAGCTTTATTCGAGGTAACTTTTCATGTAAATTTCTTTCTTTTTTTCCAATCGTATTATACAATTATGAAAGTAGTCCACTATAGTCGACAGTTAACTGAGTATGAGGAAGTGAGGAGCTCACGAATATCAACACTGCATGAACAGGTTCACAATAACATATGACTTATTGTTCAGTGTGAAACTTACAAATAAAGTCACTTTACTATATCAATTATGCATATTTATGAAAAATATCGGAACGCGGTAATCTGAGATTATAATCCTATATCCAACAATTTTGAGATTACCCTATAGTCCAGTAACTTTATACATCACAGCATGGGTCAAATCCGATAGTTCTGATTTTTTGCAGACTTGTTTATGATGTTGGCCTAATGAATAATCCAAGTTTGTGACACCAAACGTCAAAAATCGAAAAAATCGGATTTTTTCAAATTTTGACGGTTAAAATCCTGAAGGAGTAGTTTTCGAAAAAATTTGCTTGGTAAGTTTTTAAACTAGACTACATTTGCTATATGATACTAGAACTGTCTCGGTAGATTCAATAGTTTCCGAGATTAAGCCTTTCAAAATTCATCATTTTTTTCGAACTTCGCAATTTTTTGCAATTCTGTCTTTCTTCTCAATTTAATTTTGACCCTCATTACACCATTGAAGCTTTTTATGATAGGATGTTAAAAAGTAGAATGAGAAGTGTGAACGATGATGAAGAATGAACTTGGAAGACATTGAAATAAACAACTCAAAGAGGAAGGGGAGAAATGTAGAAGAATTGATAAATTCTTATTCATGTAATGGAACAGATGTTTTAAAAATAAAAACCAGGGAAAAAGCTTGCTGAAGATATTATTAGTGATTCTGAATATATTGTCCCACAACACAAACCGCTATTGAATTCTCTTCATTCACGAGCAGTTAACCAAAATGAAATAACACAACTAAAACCCATGAAGGCACCAGGAATTGATCTAATAACGTCTGAAACTGTTAACACATCTCAGACATAATTGTATCACCACTAGCTGTAGTAATCAAAAAATGCATTCAACAAGGAATTTTTCCCGCAGTATTAAAAGAAAAAATTGTAGTCCCCATATACAAAAATGGCGACAAAGAAGAATTTATCAACTACAGGCCAATTTCAGTAATAACAAACTTTTCAAAGATATTCTAAAAAACAATAAAAAATCAATTGACTTCATTTCTTGATGAATTTGGAAAAACAACATGGTTTCAGAGAAGGTGTTTCCACCCAAGACGCGATACTAAAATTGACCTCCAAAATGTATTCAGCTCTGGACAACAGTCAGCCTGCTCTCTGCGTCTTTCTTGACTTATCTAAGGCATTCGACACGGTATGTCATAAGCTACTAATCGAATCGCTCGAAAATTCAGGTATCATAGGTGAAGCTCTAGAAGCTATCTCTCAGATAGATCGCAAAAAGTCAAATTGAAGAATATCCATAGCGAACCTGAAACAGTAACGTATGATGTACCTCAAGGAACCATACTAGGACCAATACTGTTCAACATTTATTTAAATGATTTATTCGAAGTCAATACCAAAGGAGAAATAATCACGTATGCAGATGATACAGCAATCTTTTACTCAGCCCAAGAATGGAAAACTTTGAAAGAACTAATAGAAAGAGATCTGTATGAAATTAAATCATGGTTTCAGAGTCGATTGCTGTTTTCAAAACAAACAGTCATGTGTTTGAAGGGTCTCTCAACGATCAAAATATCCTCCCCATACTTTGCAAATAAGCTAGTTTTGACTGTTCGTAGTCATTCAGAGATAACTTACACTCCTTTCAGAAATTAATAAAATTTACTTTTCCGTAATTATTGGTAGAACTCTTATGGGCCAGGATGTAACCAAAGAATTGTACCCCGAACATCAACTGAACGACTTCAACAGTCCTCCCTTCAACATCGGAAAGAGCAAAATATTCCCAGTTCTTCAGTTAATATCCGTATAGGTCAGTTTGTGATAAATTGAAAAGTCATGTTTGTTTTTCCTTCTACTAATTGTTAAGTCCAAGAAATTGATTGAGTTGTCTGCTTCTATTTCAATAGTGAATTTAATGTATTCATGAAGTTTGTTAATATCCTTATGAAAAATATGTAATTGCATCTTAGTACCTGTAAAACATACCAAAACGTCATCCACATATATGTCAATACAAGAAAATAAAGTTTGTTAATATCCTTATGAAAAATATGTAATTGCATCTTAGTACCTGTAAAACATACCAAAACGTCATCCACATATATGTCAATACAAGAAATTCTTAATCAAAGGGTGTTTAAAGATCGACTTTTCTAGATTATCCATGAAAATTTCTGCAAGTCCTTACTTGGCTTAATGGATTTCCGATAATTAAACCTTTTGAGGAGAAATAAATATTGTTGTTGAATTGAAAATAATTTTGTTTGAGACAACGACAGAAGGTCAATTATTTCCCGTTTTATTACTGGATTCACTCTATTTTTATCTAATAATTCTATTACTAAAGTAATAGTGTCATCAGGGGGTATGCTAGGAAATAGATTCTGCACATCAAAGGATAGTAGTTTTGCGTTGTCTGGTAGAGGTATGTTCTCTATTTTATTGATTGAGTCATATGAATTCCGTAGACTAAATTTTAGTTGGAAGTGACAATGGTTCAAGATGATATTGATTAACCTTTCTGATAATTTCTCTGATGGTGCAGTGACAAAGGAAACCACTGGTCTAATTGGATAACTCTGTTTGTGCAGTTTAATGAGTGAGTATAATTTAGGCATTTGGAGGTTCATCAATGTTAATTTAAACTTTTCCCTTTCAGTAAAAAATATGGTTGAATTTTTCAAAAAATATTTCACTTGTCTTTGGAAAAAATTAGTTGGATCATGTTTCAGCATTTCAAAATGTCCTAAATTCAAGGATTCAATGGTTTTGTTTCTATAGTCGATTCGGTCAATGGCAACCACAGTGTTGCCTTTATCTGCTCTAGTCAATATAACATCATTTTCGTTAATTTTACTGCGTATTGTTTTCACGAGTTTCAATTCATTCGTAAAACTACTTTCTTTCAATAATTCTGATTTTATGATATGTGACGCCTGGTGTTTGTTATTTTCATTCCCAATATTATATTTGAAACCTTTTTCTATCAACACATTTTCAGTATCTCTGAACTGAACCTTCGATAAATTTATAAACCTATCATAAAATTTATGATTCGTGAATTTGTTTCTTTTCTATCAGTGAATTTAGTTTTTTCTTTTGAATGCAGTACCTTTCATGAATGATTTGGATAAATGTCTCCAAACTGGATATAATAATGACATGACATGCAATTCTGCTTTCTGCGTCGATAAATTTGTTGGTGGTTGCCATGGACACCAATATGTCTTAGCACAATCATGTCGCTGGAATTGCAAAGGCTGCTTCTCAAAGCTTGGAACACTATTCACAACCAAAAAACTGTGTACACCTCAGCAACTTTTGATGCTTTATGACGCTCAGGTCAGACCTTCTCTGGAGTATTCTTCTCATGTATAGAGATTCGGCCCTGAAGCTGTTGGATTTCATCTAGAAAAGAGCCATAAGCCTGATTGGAAAGGCGAACATAACTTGCAACTAGTCTGAAACATCGAAGAAAGGTTGCAGATTTGTCTCTCCTCTTTGGATACTTTCACTTGGCACCTTTGATTTCACCAAGAGCGGTACATATCAGAAATACGCGACGGACTGTGGTTACTCGTTTTGAAGTTCAACTCAGTACACCTCGAACTTGACTGTTCAAGAACTCTTTCATTTGGGGAACTACGTTTATATGGGATGAACGTTTTTCCAAATGAATTCAATCTCTAGCGATTGAAATCCAGTGTGAATCGCCACTTTCACACTGGCACCGCTCTTAGGGCGCCTTGAGAATTTTTCTGTAGTGCTTGTGTTTTGTGCACTTTTGCCAACGTAACATGAGTCGAATAATACCGTCAGCAAAAAAAATTATGTGCTCAGTCTTCGATGGAGTCGAAGAAGGCAGTTTTTGCCTAGTCCAGATTGGCGAAATTTCTACCGCGGAGAAAGTTATCGAAGTGCTTGAGAAGATGTAGTCGATTGGCGAAATTTCTGGAGAGTATGGAAGGTGAGGCAGAACTTCGAAACACAATATATTTAAATTTTGAATAGGGATTCGTGAAACGTACGGACATACATTGTCGTGGAGTGGTATCGGACCTCTTTCGTTGACCCGTGCCGACTGCTGTTGACGCAATTTTTGGTACATTTTGTCGATTTCCTCACAATATAATTCTGCTGTGGTAGTTTGACTCGGTTGCAGACAGTTATAGTAATTCACACCAGTCACTGAGCACAATACTGTAAGCAACATCTTTTTTGGTGAGTTTTTGCCTTTGGAAAGTGCCTGGGTGGCTGATCGGTGTCCAGCCACTGACCAAAGTCGAAAATTGAACCCGCTATTTATACTCAACATAAAAAACCATTCAGATGACTAATGACCTTAGTAGTCGATGCCAGAATGATAAATAAAAATAAAGCCATTTAGTTTCATCAAATTATGAAGCAAATAAAAAAACATACATTGGAATCACACTTTAAAAGGTAAGACGTCCAGGAATTTTGTTTCACGAAATCATGAAGCAGAAAAATAAACATACATAGGAGTCACACGTTAAAAGGTAAGACCTCGTCAATCCTTAGCTCGCTCCTTAGTTTCGACTTCTGAGGGTTGTCGTTCGTAGGGGTGCGACAGCTGGTTAACAGAATAAAACAGAATACATTTTTGTGTGAAATGCTAATATCATCTACCCAAAGTCATTCAGGAGTGAAAAGTTCAATAATTTTTTCTTTTCATATTTCGAGTATTCAACCAGAGGTTGAATGCTTCGTTCCCTTTTAGATAATTGCTAATCGGTTAGTTTGATCGTGCTTCAAACTGAAACAATTATTCTCAGGCACATACCATGCTTGAAAACAAAGAAAAGCCCAAAATGGCAGTGTTTCTGCCAACATCTATCTACTCTCGGTTTTGAGTTTACTCTTCCGTAGTGCTTTCGAAACTTCGGTAATGTCTTTCGCTGCATGAACTTATAATAAATTACTCACAGCTGCTACTTTGGTTAATCGTTGAATGTTTTTTGAGTGGAAGAGATTGACTAAACGATTATTGGTTTGACAGCATTGAGGGGTGTTTCAATGAACTGTTTCGCCTAAGCCAGAAGCATCCATTATAATATTTCAGGAACAATCAGGAATATTAGGAACCATCAATATTCGACGATGTTTATCAGGAACTCTTGATTATGTAAATTTTTACACTCAAAAGTTGAAGACGACTATATTAGTAGAATATAATGAAAATATATCATACTGAATGACGATAGAGCTGCTTCCAGAAATATGAAATGATAATGCCCATTCTCACTCTCCTTTTCTTGTTTTCGTTTAACCATTTGAAATCAGAATAGAAATTTCAGGTGAATGCAGAAAAATCATATCGAATCATCAAGTTACATTTATTTCGATATATTATAAAAAATCTCTTGAAATTGGCGATATTAATGAAAATAATTCATTTATATCATCTGTTAGAAAGTACAAAAGAAAAAATCTATTCTTTTATTACAAGAAGAAGTCAAATAATTTTTCAACAAAATTTCAAAACTTGTGGATTAGCACACAGTGCACTCTAGATATGATCCTAGAAGAATTTTTGAAGCATTCTGAGAACACTTGTATCACTTATTTCATTTATATCAATTATGTCATCAATAATCAACTACTACTCTATTCCAAAATATATGTCAGCAATGTTCAAAAATGATGTCGTTTGATTTATAATTTCACATAGAGTGAAACTAATGCAAGGCATTGGCAAGTGGAGAAATGCTGGTGAATAAGGAAAAGATCTTTCAGCAGTTCCAGTCTTCATTTTTTAGCGCAATTTGGACTAAATCGTAAATTACTTAATGAGAAATCAAGAACCGAATGATCCCTTTATCATTATTTTCGATAAAATTGAACTAAAATTAATTATGTGAAATGAACTAGACTCAGACTAGTTACGTTTTGGTCTTCTTCAGGGACTTCACCATAGAAACCTTCTAATGAAAGTTAGTAGTAACTAAGTTAGTAGTAACTAAGTAGTGAAAACAAAGCATCGGTGATATGAATGAAACAAGTGATTGAAATGTTTAAATGTGCTGGAACTGTATAAATATATAGGGAAATGTTTAATCTCAATCTACATCAATTCGTTTCAGTTGGATGCTAGAGAACTTCCTGTGCAAGATGTACATGTTCATCCAGTCCCTCAGCAATACTGCCAGTATTTTCATTCTTGTAGTTATATGTACGGAGCGGTACTTCGCCATCATCTACCCAATCACTTGCAAACAAATACTTACTCCAATCAGATTGAAGGTGAGTTAATCTTGTTTCTGTAACGCCATTAACTAGATCACTTACTAAAACGTCTTTATTATCGTCATCGTGGATAAAACTTCACAATAAATAAACATATTCACCAAATAAATAAATTATAACTTCAATTTCCAAATGGTTTTTCAACGATTCGATCACAACAAGCAGTGTTCCACAATTATTCACCTACTTCTGTTCGGAAAAGAAAAAGATTCAGATTGAAAAAAAGTTGTTGGCTATTTATTTCGGTGGTGAGAAGTTTCAGCATTGAAAAACTGATCACAAACCATAGCTTGGATTATTAAAAAAACTGCATTTAGTGTATTAAGTTAGGAAGAATTTGCTAATACTTTATATAGGTCGATCTATATGAAATTGTAGATGATGTATTTCAAAATATACTTATATTTAACTGACTATATTTCAGATGCCACGAAATTACCAAAGAAAGACTGAGACCAAATACAAATTAGAAGACAGAAGAAGCTATTCATTCAGGATGTTAAAAGTAAAACACTTTCATTTGGTAAAGCAGCTGCTATTTATTCTATTTCGAAAAGTAGTATATACGACTCAAGTATATACGATCTCAAGAAAGAAGGTATTTTCTGAAGAACAAGAAAGAGAGTTAGAGGACTATATTATGAAATGCAGTAAATTATTTTATGGCTCAAATATAGAAATGGTACTGAAAATAGCATTCAAATTTGCCGAAGTGAATAATTTAAAGAACAATTTTGACAAAATATCTCAAATGCCAGGAAAAGACTGGTTCTATGGATTTAAGAAAAGGCACCTTAATATTTCACTACGTAAACCTGAGTCCACTTCAATCAATGGAATCACGGATTTTAATGAAACAGAAGTGAACATGTTCTTCAATAATTTGAAAATATTACAAACCAAACACTACTTGTATGCCAATCGAATATACAATTTTAGCACCAAAATGCCAGAAACAAGTCGGTATGGCAACAAGCTGTGAAAGAGGTATATACTACAACGACAGTTGTCTGCGCTTGTAGTGCTTCAGGAAAGTATATTCCTCCTATTTTATTTTTAAGAGGAAGCGTATGAATGATCAGTTGTTACGTGGAGGCAATCCTGATATGATAGCAGCCGTAAGTGATTCAGGTTGGATCAACGAGAATTCATTTGTAGTTCGGTTACACCACTTCATATCTTTTGCTAATCCAACAGTTGCAAATGAAGGTGATGTAAAGAAAAACGAGAATTATTGCCTAATTTGTGATAAAAAGTATTAAGATCCACCATAGAAGACTGGATAAAATGCTACAAATGTAATTTATGGGCCCACGAAAACTGTCACGAGGCTTTAATTGTGATTTCTATCCCGATTAGACTATGTTCGTAATTACCCCACAGACCATTCGCAATTACCCCACGTGTTGTGGGGTAACCCCGGACTCCAATGTTTTGTTTTTGTATTAATATTTTATTTTATATGGAACATTTTACTACGTTGATTATGACAACATGAGATTGATTAGTTAACGTTTAGTAATAAATAGCATTCATTACCTCAACTAGTTTTGTTTAATTTCAGTTCTTCCTTAGGTGTTCGCAATTACCCCACTCTCCCCTATATCCGACAGGCGTCAGTGCAGGAATCTTCACAGAAAATAAATTCTCACTTTTCTGGCCGGAGAAGATAGTAATCTTCCCATGGTTATCGCCTGAGTCTTTTCCGGGTTTACTCGGATCTTCCAATCAAGGTACCAGCGCTCGAGGTCGTCCAATGCACGTTGCATGTAGACGACGCCGAGCTCTCGACCCATGGAAGATGAGAGAAGAGCCGTATCATCGGCGTACAGGGATATCTTCACTCGTTCGGACCTAGGCAGGTCGCTGGTATAGAGTGAATACACGCGTTTAGCGTGTGCAGAAGACCTTCGTGCCATACTCGGTCGAAGGCCTTCGAAATGTCTAACAGCACAATATGCACTTTTTTGTTAGTGTTTAGCTCGCTGATGGTGTTTTCGACCAACCTTAGAGCCTGTAACTCAGTGGAGTGGTCTCTCCTGAAGCCGAATTGTTCGTTAGGCAGAACATTCCGGTCCTCAACTTCTTCGTTGAGTCTTTGCAACAGCTCTGCGGGAACAGCTGGTTCTGACCCTGTTTTGGGAGCATGACGACGATCGCATGCTTCCACCTTCTAGGGAAGTGTCTGAGGGCCAACGAACTGTTGATTAGATTCAAGAGAAATTCGACGCAGTTCTCCGGGAGTCTCTTCAACAACTTGTTGGTTATTGAGTCGGCCCCTGGAGCCTTCTTCGCCTTTGCGGCCTTGATATGACCCTTCAGTTCTTCCATAGAAGCCGGACGGATGTCGTCGTCGTCATCTTCCCTGAGGAGTCGGTGAACCACCCTTTTTATTTATATGTCTTTCGACTGTTTTTACCTATTCTCTCTTCTCCCCTCTCTCCGCTTCGCCAGTTAAGGGGGAGCTGACTGGCGGAAGTTAGCTATTTTCCGCTTGATTATGAGTTCCCATGTGTTGCGTATCTGCAGGCTAGCTTGGCTGAATGCGTTGTTGTACAACATATATGCGGCATCTTTGAATTTCCTCCTAAACCAGTCCTGTGGATGATCTCAGCTTGAGACCATTTGATGTTAGGTTGATGAGTCGAAACATGCTATTCTATTCCCGATTTACTGGTTTCTCCTCGCTGGCCTCTTAGTTTCATATGCTGAGCAATGTGGACTTTCATCGGCCTCTTAGTTTCACCGATATAGGATTTTTCGCACTCGCAGTGTATCTGGTAAATGCAATCCTTTTGGTATCGGAGTCCGCGTTTGCTAGCCTGGTTTTCGGGAGGCTAAACCGCTAAACCTATGAAGCGGAAAGAGGGAAAAGAGGACAGGTGAAATCACTCGAATGACCTATAAATAATCATCTCTCCAAGAAATAGGTCCAGTCATCACCCGATCATGATTCTGGGTACCAACAATCGACACGTCGCGTTGAAGTAACTTGGCTTGAAATCTTTTAATTTTTTATCGTTTCAATTGTTCAATTTTCAATTTTTCCTGGTATTGTCATTTTATTTCAGGGTTATTTACTCAATATAATCGTTATTTTCATCTATTCATTTTAATTTTATCAATTCCTTCACATCATTTTATATCATATTGAACAATGAAAGTCTGACTTGATGAAATTCACTTTCAAGTTGTTTGCAAAATTTTTTGTTTCTCTAGAAGAATTCATCACATATCAGAGATTCAACGTGAAGTTCGTAATACGTTTCATAATTTTTCTAAAAATGCCATCAATTTACAAGTGTTTTTCACGTTGGAATTCATTTCGCGTATATTTTTTTGCGAACACAAGCTAAATAAAAAGTGTCAGTTACATGCATTCTAACAATGTTCACACTCCAAATACTCTATTGTCAACTTGTCAATAATAATATTTTTTCAAATACTTGGAAAATCCCAATCAATTTCACCTACTATATTTATATCTAACTATGTAAACTTCCACTTTACCATTTAGACTCATCTCATTATTGATTTTTTTATACACAGTTTATTTATTTATACACTGTTCTACAGGTTAAACCCAACTACAGAACAGGGATATACGTCAGATCACAATACAATACAGTTACAATATAAGGTAAAAACAATACAATAGTGAAGCTGAAGCAATACAATAGCTGAAGTGAAAAGACCTAATCGCAAAGATGGAACAGTAAAAAATGTCGAGATGACTATTTGATGAATTGCATTTGACACACATGTTATGCAGAGGTGAACGTGGCAAATTAAAAGGATTAACCACTCTAGAGGTTGGCCTAGGAACATTACAATTCAGTTTTTGCAGAATATTTGTGTCAATAATTAAATTATTAATCAGTTTAAAAAGAAAAATTGTGAAGTGACAATCACGACGGCAATTCAAGCTATTCATAGCATGTCTAGCTAACAATGCATCATGGGGAAATCCAATTGGTGGATAGATATTGTCTGATCTATAGAAGAGAAGTTTTGGGAAACGACGTTGTACTGATTCAACTTTTTCTGGATACAACTGATGAGATATATTCCAGATTATAGATGCATATTCTAAAAGATCACAATACAATACAGTTACAATATAAGGTAAAAACAATACAATAGAATTAGCTGAAGTGAAAAGACCTAATCACAAACATAGAACAGTAAAAAATGTCGAGATGACTATTTGATGAATTGCATTTGACACACATGTTATGCAGAGGTGAACGTTTCAGAATATTTGTACGTGGTGTTTCCAAATTAAAAGAATTAACCACGCTAGAGGTTGGTCTAGGTACATTACAATTCAGTTTTTGCAGAATATTTGGGTCAATAATTAAATTATTATTCAGTTTGAAAAGAAAAATTGTGGAGTGACAATCACGACGGCAACTCAAGCTATTCATAGCATGTCTAGCTAACAATGCATCATGGGGAAATCCAATTGGTGGATAGATATTGTCTGATCTATAGGAGAGAAGTTTTAGGAAACGACGTTGTACTGATTCAACTTTTTCTGGATACAACTGATGAGATATATTCCAGATTATAGATGCATATTCTAATTTTGATCTGACGAAAGCATAGTTATTAAGAGTCCGTAAGATCATCTACTGATGGTACCAATTACGTCGTCGAAACGTTCGTTTTGATGTGGTAAATAGTAGTGAAAGTGTTTAAATGTATCATTGAACGGTCATATATCTGACCTCATTTAAATGAGTTGTATCAGCCAATTCCACCGTTAACCCAGGGATCTCATTCTAATCTCTCTCATTACAACCCCGTCCATCAAACTGAGATAACATCTTAGCAAATAACGTTTCACAATACTGGTACTCGATTGTGCGTGAACGTGATATCCCGAAATTTCACCCTCAGGCACCGATTTACTAGATGAGAAAGACGATAGTATACCCTTGAGTGATGTCAACGCAGCGAAACTTTTTGTCAAAGAAACTTCCAGCAACAAACTC